GTGAGAGGAAGTGATGGAGTGGGGTAAGAAAAGTATTTTACATTTTATTTTATAAAAAAATATTATTTTTTGGATAATAATTTTTAATTTTAAATAATACTAATAATTTATTTAAGTCAATGTTGAATATTTTGTCCATGTGGAGTGTGATGTGACAATTTTTTAAAATAAAAGAGAGTGTATTATACACACCATGATGAGAGTGGTATAAAAGAGAGAGGTGCGTTTCTCAAACTAAAAAGTGATACTCTCAATATAGTTTAGGTATGAAACTCAAAAAAATGGTATAGTTTAGGTGTGTTTTTGAAACTTATCTCTAGAATTTATAACATGCTTTAATTGCCTAAATTCTATTACTAACAATAGAGTGCAATTGTTCTCCTGATAATTTCTGGCAGATATATCATTTGCATTAAACAAAGTAAGAATAAAGATGTCTCATAACATTGGGCTATAGACTTGATCAACAACGAATGAAGTACATGAATAACCTGTTTAACGTCAACATCAGCTTCAAAATCAAGTTCAAAGTCACAAAATACTTCTGCATTGAATATGGAAACATCCAAATTAGACTTGTGTTGTACCATGCATCTATTTTAGGACCTTTTCTAGAATTCACCACTCGCTATGATCACATCTTATACTTGTTAATCATCATCAATTACAATCTCTACCTATCATATATAGTTGATTCTATTATATTAATATAAAGTCTTCTTTAATTGTATTTACCATGTATAGTATTTATCATGTATCGTATTTTACCATGTATAGTTTTCTTGTAACCTTCTTATAAGGAGATAATCTCCTTCATTCTAAAGTAATAGAAATCAAGGGTTTTCCTTTGTTCTTATGATATCAGAGCTTTGAATATTTTTCTCTGTCTCTCTTCTTTTTCCCTCCCCTCCTACTTGCGTGTTTTTCTTTTTGATCCATTCCAATGGATTCACATAATCAACTTCCGGTAATGAAACTTGATGGAAAGAACTAACTTTTTTGGGATTCATATTTTCAAAATCTTCTTGAGGGAAAAGAGCTTTGGGTTCATGTTACCTTGCCCAAACCATGAATCACAACCGACAATTCATGAATCATCTTCAAATGGTGTGTGTCTGACGGAAATTGACGTACCTGGATCACGGAGTCCGTCGACAACACCATTGCTCTGAATCTCACTCCTATGTCCTTTGCTCATGCGATGTGGGAATATCAACTACAACAAGCTCTCACATCTCTTTCTCAAGAGACCACTACCACCCAAGAATTTCATTGTTCCATCATGTTGAATTAGAATGAGATAGACATGATTGATAACACAAGTATTCCGACAGCGGTGCTCGATGAAATCTTTGACTTACGATAGAAATCTTGTTTTCATAAATTCCTTATGAAGTAATGACCAGAGTTTGAACTTATTTGAGCCTTTATACTTAACCTCATCGCCCGATATGCCTTGTTGATCTTCTTGCTGGAGAGAGTCGTCTTGCCCCTCTCTCTTCTCAGAATTCCCCTCCTAATTCCTTTGTTGCTTACAAAGGAAAATATCGTGATATGTCTAATGTTGAGTATTTCAACTATCATGAAACGGACATTATGATTCTCATTGCCACAACCAGAGAGAGTCTACCTCCAAATAGTTTTGTCGATATTACAAGAAAGATGGTCATTTAATCGAAAATTGTTGAACTCATCCACCACGCCCCAACCATTTGACCACTCCCACTGCTTTCTGTCACCCTGATGGTTCCTCATCTTCTATACATGTTGAGCTCATGCAACAACTTATCAAAGGTCTTCATGCTGCATATTTTGATAAGCCTAAGTTGACTACTCCTTGGATTATAGATTTGTGTGCCACTCATCACATGTTTGGTGACTTGACAACCTTTGCTTCCTCCTAACCCTTTTCCAACTTTGGCAGGTGTTTCTCCAAATGCACACGCAAGTGTACGTTGTCACACAAGTAATATAGTGGCTCTAAAATAGCCAGATTATCGAACCCAAAAGGCTTGTCAATTAACTATTTTATAAAATTAGACTAGTTTAATTATGCTTACAAGCGTGCCAAAATAGTTTAACTTATATATGAGTACTAAGAATGCAAGAATGAAATAATAAGATTAACTTACAATGATAAGGACCATTCTAGGGCTGCAGTTTAACTAGGCATTCATGCTTCACAAATCTTTCTCGGATTTCAGATGGTTATCAAATTATTGATTTACAGAGTTGATATTATGATCATGATCTCTCGACCTCTAATCACCTACCCCAGTTGAACATCTAACTACATTGTTTAGCAGACATAATCAACTGTTAGGCATTTAGTTTTCATCCTGTTTCATAACCAAGCATGGTGTTTAGTGGGTGTCAATACTAAACACAAGTCAATTCAAGTGATATGCAAGAAAAAATCGTACTCCTTGTATTCCCCATTCTATCTCTCTATTCTTCTGTCGAATTCAAAAGTAGACAATGT